TTGATGCCCTTACATCACCAGTCATATACTGTAAGTGATTCTTTGAATACTAAGACTTAGAAAAGCTCTGGTCACCCCTCATCACTATTTTCTGTCTCTCGCTTTTTTAATGGAATCGTGCTTTATTACGTCTACTGACACAAGACAATTCTTTCACAATTATTTTACAGTCCAATTTGTACTCTACAGATAGGTTTATCATGCTGACAGGATTTTCTAAAAGTTGGGAAGTCTTAAATGTTTTTTTATGCTCGCCAAGCAGTAATTTATTTTATGTGGGGAAGAAGTCATAGCTTTTTGCACTGCAGTGTTTAATGAACTAACAGTTAAACATTAAATTCCTGTTTGGTTAGAATGAGTGTTCACTATCAACAGTACTGGCAGTATTGGCCTCCAGCTAAACCCCTTACAATATTCCCAGGTCACTTAATTTTCTTTGAAAAATGATTCTCTTGAGAACTCCAAGTGTCAGCTGTTGGGATGAGATAACATGTTTTGTTTTTCTTGAATTTAAGATGATTTTTTGCTAACTTTCAAGCTGCGTGTTGGTATAATACTCGTCTCCCTATACTGTAGCTCTACCTTATTACTATGTTTTGGAATAGCGATTGTGGAAAAGAAATGTGTGGTTTTTGTTTTATTTTTGCTGTAAAAAACTAGTACAAAGTAATTATTATTTGATTAACTTAACTCATTGTTTGTTTATTCTTCATTTCCTGTATTTCATTTGCAACTGATCAGGGATGACAGTGTCTCAGTTGCTTAAATATTAAACTCTGTTTGGTTTAAAGCTTCATCTTGTGTTCAGTCGTGAGATCAGAATATACATGTAACTTATTTTGTGTTTGTGGCCCGGCTAGCTCTGTTGGTAGAGCATGAGACTCATAATCTCTGGGTTCTGGGTTCGTGTCCCACGTCGGGCGCCAGGGCCTCCATGTTGGAGGTTGGGCACAAGGCTAACAACCCTGTCCCGTAAAAAACAAAAATTTTACTGTAACAGCAACAGGATGTTACAGCCCCTACAATACGGAAAACTTAACAGGCAAACATCCACATCCATCCATTATTTTTTGTATTGTCCCAGCTTTGAAATGCTGAACCGTCTTGTTAAAGAACATCCCTCATTATTTTGGCACTTAACCTGCCTTCTATTATTTTTATGTGCTAAAAAGGTACTTTGGATGAAAGATCAGATGTATATCTGGAATCACTTCCCTCCTTTCCAAGAAATTTTAAAATATTTATTTTAAAATATTGTTTTATTTCTTCTCTTTTGTGAGAATTGTATTTTTCTCTTGATGCATATGTTTTTTTTTATTTAACAGGCCAGCTGAGCTCAATAAAATCCTCATTACATGGCTGAAGGATGTACACCAGAAGGCCTCAATCCCAGTTAAAACAAAGCTGTGAAAGAGATGGTAGCTCTTATTCCTGCTACACAGTGTTAAGAGGGGGTTTATTACAAGGAACAAATGAGAATAACTTAAATCTAACACTTAATATGATGTACAGATGCAGCCATTTAAAATGCGAGGTAAAAGCTCATACCGAGCGAAATTATCTGCAGATTAGGGCGGATTACTGCAGTACCTGATTGGCCAAATGCTGCACATGAAACGTTTAGCTCAGCTCAGCTAAGCCCATCCCCACCTGGTGGTATTACAAGGTATTTCATCCTATTAAAAAAACACAAACAGTACTTTGCAGTTCATTGCGAATTGTCCACTGGTTTACCGCAGCATATGTCACACATTTTGAATGGCTGGATCTGTATAATATTTCTGTCAGTGTGATGTATTAAAGCAGTAAGAGAGATGGTTAAGATGGAGAGGATCTGAGAAGGCCCTTTTAATAACATTTTGCAAAAAAATCAATATTTTGGTCTGTGACAGTAGTAGACGTTTCAGGAAGTTACATTTCTGTTTATATTTGAGTCAAACTCTTCTTATAGGTCATGATTTAAGGTTTGAAACTGGTCCTAAAAAAACAAAAAAAAAATGGAATAGTACTGTAAAGGCTTGTTCTTCTGATGGTTGTTAATTAAAACAAGGAAAGTATATGTGCGTAATATAGATTTATAATTCTTGGTCAGCTCTTAGTTGAAACCTTTCTTATGTTCCTATGATTTAATAATGTTTAATTAAAGAATTCATGCAAAAGATCAAGTGTAATTCATGGAATATTCATAGTTTATGTAAGATTAAACTTTAAAAAATGTAATTTTGAGTTTAAAAGTATTTTGGGAAATTGTGTGTATTGTTCCTACGCTGCAATAAATGTAATAAACCACATATGTGTGCTTTTAGTCTTAAGTCTGGTTTCTTTAATTACTTTGTATCATTCTGACCATAAGTAGTTTTACTTGGGCTGTAACTGGTAGATCAAGGATAAATAACGTGAAACAAATGTTTGTGAATTATATGATGCCATTGAATATAGACAACCTGCAGGAGAAACATATTGTTACAAAAAAGGCAATGATTAAATTGTACAATTAGGAGTCGTCATATATTAAAGATCAAGGTCTTGACCCCAGCTTGCTATACAAGCAAGCTATAATGATGAACAATTCCTTCTCTTCAAAATCAGAGAAAACCTAAGCTTTGTATAGCACATGATTATGTTTTTCTCCACAACAGCATGCTGATAAAGAAATGACCCAATGGCAAACTCATATAGGACAAACAATGCAAGAACAAAAATATATATTAACAATAAGTAAAACAACTGTAAAACACAATGGTTACACTATACTGTATGTAGATATTTACAGGTCTGCAATTAATCAGATATCTGTTCTACAGTCATATACAATCCATATAGAACTGTTAAATTTCTTAACAGCCCCAGAAGGAAACCTGCATCCTATTAAATAAAAGGATATCAATCAGAAATAAATCTGCCTCTCTAAATTGATGCTCACAATTGAATGGGAATAAACCTCCCCCTTTTTAACAATGCATAACTAAAGAAGGGGAGATGTTTTTAGACTGTGTATTCTATCATGCAGGAATTTTGGAACTGATAGTTTGATAATCTTTCAGCATTTGGACAGAATCTGGTTTCAAGTCTACTTTGAAAGCAAACAACTATCTCACAGTCCAGTGTGCTTCTTATGTTGATGGCGATGCTCCCCTTCCTGTCTTTTCTCCTTCTCCCTTTCTACCTCTGCTTGCTTATGTCTTGCTGTATTGCCTCAAGGCTTGTTCTCTCCTGTCACCATAGAAGCTAGTTTAATAACCTCACTAGGATTGGTCCAGTTGTTATTGAATATTGATGTTCTAATTTGGATAACTTAATGGCTTAACAGTGAATTCTTTTAACCTGAGTTAATTATTGGTATCACTCCTTTGATCATCTGTATTTTTCAGCATGTTTTCTTGCCTTCAAAGTCCAAGCACAGCTCCTCAAATAAAGCAAGACTACAGAATACAGTAGGTCATTCAAGCCTGGGAAGAGTAAACAACTAACTTTCATCCCCCAACCTTGGCAACATAATTTTATACCATAAACCTATAATGAAAAGGAAAATGGAGAGAAAACAGGTTATGTTTCATTTGAATGAGGAAAAAAAAAAACTCTGCTACAGTATAACTTTCATAAACGCTGTATAATACAATGTAATATGCATAATCCTTTACAATAATTTATGGAAATGACATTTTAGGCACACAATAATTTGAATAATAATGAGACATACTTTCAGCTGAGAGGTGAAAGCAGAACTGCAGGTATAAGTGAAAGTGATGGAACACACCATTAAAGGCATGAGAGCTACAGTATGAAGGAGTTTTTTTCTCCTCATTAAAGAAAAGCTTTACTAGGAAAAAAAAGGATTGCTAGTAATACTGAAGAACAGGAGAAAAGCCTCCCAGTGAATTACAACTGTTTTTCTTTAATCTTTTCTTTAAATCAATTTCTCCCCTGCAGAGAAATTGTAAATGACCTGGTTAGTAATTTACCCCTACAATGCCTCACACCAATTCTAAACATTGTATTTAGGTTTATTCCATTATAAATGTAGTCTGAGTTCATTTTTCAAACTGAGTTCAGAAATCAGTTCTTATATGGTCATATACAGTACTGTAAAAATACACCTTAAAATAAAAAAAAGATCAGGATAAACAACCACAAAAAGCACAGTGACGTATTAGTGGTGGCCAGAATCAACAGTGTTCAGAAGAGGTTCATCTAAAATGAAAGGTCTCCTTAGCAAGTTCATGTTGCAGAATTCAAAAACATTCAAGAAATTGTCTCAATGGGAGGTTTCCAATTTTCTTTGTGCTAATTACTGTATATTTTTCTACAGAAGATGTTTTCACTTTCATGGTTATAATCCTTTAAGCTTTCAAAGAAGTTAAATATGTATTAAAAGGTATATTTTCCAGGTCAGTTGAAATGATCTTAGTGTTACTTCATTTCCACTAAAAAGAATGGTTAATACATTTTTAAAGTGGGACTTTCAATGCAGAACTGGTTATATGAATTTCACTCCTGGTCTGCACAATCTGAACTATGTGAATTCTCCCTGAAGTCTTTTAGTGAAGGCAGTTCTTCCTTTCCACCTGATCTGCTGCATATTGGGGGTGCTGTCATGGTCATGAGTGCTGTCATGGTGGCTGCCACAAGTCATCCAGGTGGGTGCTGTACTGCAGTGGTGGTTGAAGTGTACTGTAGGTAGGTTGGTGTAGGTCCCTTCCAATATGGAAAACCACTGTGGAATGAAAGCTCTATGTTGCTTGTAGAGCACTTCAATTTGGATTTACATACAATTATGTACAGCTTTTGAAATATACATTCCAAAAAAATGTTCTGAAAAAAAAAGAAACTAAATTGCTACTGAATTTTACTTGGAAATTAAAAAAGTGTTTTGTATCATATCATCTAATTCAAACATTGAATATTTAAGCAAGAGAACATTTATTTAAAAAAAAAAAAAGAAGAGAGAAAAAACACAATGTTTCAGCCGTTGAGCCTTCTACAGGTGTGAGAGAGACAAGGCAGTAGGCAAAAGTAATGTAGTGGGAGAACAAAGGCTGGGAGGGAGGAAGGGTTAGAGGCGGGAGCAGGGGACAGAAAGAGAGGCCAATCAAGAGGTGTGGTGAGCCAATCAACTGCTGAGCTCGAGTCCTGGGGGGCAGCCCTCTTGAGTAGTCAGGGGTGCAGACTGGTGAGTTGGAAGACCAACGTGCCGAACAGAAAAAGAGACAACATGCATCACAGTTCTGTTTCTCCCCAAAGGCTTTTCTTAGAGGAGAAATATCGGTGAGGCAGGCAGTCCATACACAGTAATCCAGTCAGAGGGCCCTGGTGCTGGTGATTCAAGGTGCATGCCCTAATATGGGATCTCCTCTGAGACCAGGCCAGACGTTGGGCCTTTCAGCTCAGTCTCCCAGGTTCTTCATTCCAACAGAAGCGCCTGGGTTTGAACAGAATCGGATACCTAGGCGCCTTACGGATCAACCGGTGGAGACTTCATCTAGGAAACGATGACAAAGAAATCCTTCCTTAGTCCCCTCTCAGCTCCTGGAGCCTCAGGTGAGCACAGCTGCTGGGAACGGTCCCAGTCAGAGCCCTCAGGAATCCTCAGGGAGCTCAGGCTAATGTGCTCACCAGACATTGGAAGGCGAACAGGATGCCTGGCTCCCTAAGAAGAGATAGGGGACGGCTCTGCTGGGGCACTGGAAGGTGGTTCGGAATCGAACAAAACAGAAAAAGGAAAAGGTGACCCAGACAGCCCGGGAACAGTGGGGTGAGAGAAAGGAAAATGAGTCCTAAAGGTCAGGAGAAAAAGGCTGACTCAGAAAGAAGCCAGAAAAGCGGCAGAAATGAGGGCAGTCAAAGAAAATACTAAAGTGCAGGGCAGAACTCTTCTACAGAACAGGAGAAGGAGGGGACTGCTAGGCTGAGGAAAGGATGACTGCCTGGAGAGAGCCCTGGGTCCTGGACAATGAAAGCTGCCTCCTGGTCAAGTCAGAACTGCAGGGGAGGAGGAGGCAAGCGGAAAAGAGCCCAGGATTCCAGGGCAAAGGCCAGGAGCCACAGTATAGACTGGAACTGGAACTACAAAGCAGGAGTAACCGGGCAGGCTTTAGAAGCACAGACTGTAGGACGAGGGTAGTTTGTTAAGAACTCTGCAGAACAGGACCCTAGGTAATCAGCCCACAGACCAGGATTGGGAAGCCTCAGCTCTAGGGGGTGTCACTCACTCTGCCATGGGGAGCAGATTCTCAGGAAAAGGGGGACACACAGGTCCATCATTCCAGGGTGACAGGACTACCCGGCAAAACCACTGAAGCTTCAGCCTCCCAGACTGGAGTATCACGAAGTTCTGCACCAAGGAAGAAGAACGGGATGAAAATGAATAACGCCGGAGCACCACCAAAACGGTGCCTCGGCATTAAATAGAGAAAACAGGAATTGGATAATTAAAAATATACTATATCTACTATAATTACTTATAGGGCAGAACATCAAAAGGGGATCTGATCAGAGTGGCAGGCCCTGGAAAACCGTGAGCACTCATGAGAATGTGAAGGTGTTCCAGGGCAACTGCATGCAGAGGGATGCACATAGGACAGCAGTCATAACAACTCCACTGTGCTTAATTCAGGATAGAAAAGAAAAATATGGCAAAGGATAGTTTCTTACACTTGAATAGTTGCTTACACATTATATGATTTAGAATAATTCAAACAATTTTATTTATTATTTATTAAAATGTTTCCTGGGAAGGAATGAATTCAGATCCTTTGAACCAACACTGAATGAAACTGTGGGTGCCATTGCTGATAAACAGAAAAATGTGAAGGGCTTCCTTGAGTAACAAGTGGCAACACAGACCAATATATTTTATTTAGAAAGACAATGCCTTGTGTTTCTATTATTCTCAGCGGGCAGCATTTTCTACACTTACAGTCACCAACTGGGAAGAGTTGATGATCTATAGTATTTTTAATAAGATACTAAAACACCAGTTCATCACACTACAGACACAAGAAATATCAGAGTGTTGGAATGCTTCAGGATGTCAACAACTGTCTTCTCTATACTGTAGCTGTTTTTTTTCCCACTTGTGAACAAACTTGGAAAAATCCGTATATGTTTTATACAGTTTTGATACTTTCCAGTTACCTATTTCCAGTTAACTATAACATTAAACAAGAATCTCCTCATACAAAACATATTTCTGTCGTTCTCAATATAAACTAAAAGACTATTCTTCAAAGAAATTGCTTGCAGAAATGGCAAGAGGTTGAGTATCATAACCAATCCAGAGGAGATC